CCATCAAGTTGGTACTGACCTATAGCGACCTTATGTACAGCAGAACAAAACACTGCCCGATCCTGGGTCAGCTTCACTGCTGTTGCCATGCTTGAGTCCATCGATGCTGTCGCTTGGCCAATCCATCTTGTTCGGGGTCTTCCTCTTTTTCTCTGATCCTCCACCTTACTAAACATGACATCCTTCTCCAGCGACTGTTCCCTCCTGACAGTATGTCCAAAGTATGAGAGACAAAGTTTGGCCATCTTGGCCTCCAAGGAGCACTCTGGCTGTACTTCTTCCAAAACGGATCTATTGGTTCTTTTGGCAGCCCATGACACTTTCAATATTCTCCTCCAATACCATAACTCAAAAGCATCAGTTCTTCTATGGTCTTCCCTATTCACTGTCCAGCTTTTGCATGCATATTCCCAGCACCAAATTGGAGATCAAAACTTAACTATCCTATAACACTCAGGAAGTATATAGCATAGTCTTTTTAACATTTATAAGATCATGTCACAATCTGCTTTCAAAGTTGTTCAACATCTCCTGGACTAACTTACTTTGATGTACAAACCCTTACCTTGAATCTAATTAATCAGGATTCTGTCTTCCCCTCCAAATACCCCTTACTGTGCTCCATCCACAGTGGTCTTCTATCTAGTTTCTAGAATACAATCAAATGCACTACCTTCTGAGTCCTTTTGTTCTTGCCTATCCAGCTCTCTTGCTGCTACTTATTTAAATATTTGTCCTTCTAATCCTCAAGTGCAGTTCACTCAAGTTGTCTATGTTTGGTTGTTGCTGTTGCTAAGCACCATCAAGTCAGTTCCAACTTACAGCAACTCTGTACAGGGCTTCTGAGTAACTGCAGGTGTGTTTGAAGTGCTGACTTTGTGGTCAGCTTATCTTATAATGCCACACATAGGACTTCCTATGTTTGGCATTAAATAAATGTTGTTGTTCAGTACCATCAACTTGGTTCTGACTAATAGCAACCCAGTATAGGGTTTCTGAGGAGCGACTGGTGAATTTGAATCACTCAGCTTGTAGTTCATGCTGACCTTGCAGTCCTGTGCTTATCCTACATACCACAACAGAAGCCATTGTTAAATATTAATGACCAGACTCTTATGTGAATCCAGAAATCTACTGTGAATTCAGGGAGCCAAGTGGTTTGGTATTAAGCACTCAGCTTCTAACTCAAATGTTGACTGTGCAAACCCACCATTTGCTCAATGAGAGACAGATGTGGCACTGTGCTCCTTTAAAGACGTGTCATCTGCAGAGCATTTCTATTCTGTCCAATATATTCACTATGGGTTTGAATTGACTCTATGGTAAAGGTCTTTGGGTACTGTAGATTAACACAAGAATGTCTATTCATGGCATCTGAAAACAATAAAGTTATCAAGTATTTAATTGAAATAAACAAAATTTTTTGAGTAGAAACAACAGCAGACCTAGTTTTACCTTACCTTGTATTATTAAACATAAAGAGCAACCAAAGGCCACAACAGATCAGACACACAGAAGGATGTGGTCACAGTTGTTCTAAGAGCAAGGATAGCATCTCTGTTTCTAACAGAACACTTCTTAGTTGTTATGCAATAATAAAACAACATCCTGTTTGGAATAGATACATGAAATTCAGAAGCCTAGTCATGCTACCATAATTTTCTTACCTCGCCTTTCTTGTCTCAGTCTGGACATTTTATTGATTAATAACATAGTACAAATGCCAGTTCATAAGAACAGAGGCAAAAGGATCCAACCAAAAGAGTTAAATGCATTTCATATGAAGAATTCTGAATCAACATATTAAGGGTGTGCCCAATTTCAGATTCAAAATGCAACCACATTAGCAGAAACAAGGTTCCAAGTCATTCTTACTCAAAGTTCACTGTGATACTGACAAGTACATTTTTGTCTAGAAAAAATAATTTTTTCATAACAGTTGCTTTTCTCAAGATTTGGCCTATTTTTTATGAGAAGCAGAAGAATCAGCATACTGTGCATCTTATCTGCTACATGATATTTTGAAGTTAATAAAGACTTGTTATTAAATGTTGTCGAGTGAGTTCTGCCTTAAAGTGACCCTACATAGGGTTTCCAAGGAGTATTTGGTGGGCTTGAACCACCAGTCTTGTGGCTAGCAGTCCATTGCTGATTCTACTGCATCACACCAGGATTCCAGTAAGGAGTTGTCATTGTTGTTAAGTGTTATCAAGTTAGTTCCAACCTAAAGCAAACCTGTATAGGACTTCCAGGGAGCAGCAGGTGGGTTTCAACCACTGACCTTGTGGTTCAAACTGACCTTGTGGTCTAGTGCATTATACTGCTGTGATGCACCAGGAATCAATGAGTGGTGGTGGTGGTGGTGTGCCATAGAGTTGGATCCGACTCATAGCAACCCTGCATAGGGTTTCTGAGGCTGTAAATCTTTACAGGAACATAAGGTCTTATCTTTCTCCCACAGAATGGCTGGCAGTTTCAAACTGCTGACCTTGAGGTTAGCAGCCCGACTCGTAACCATTACACTACCAAATCCTTCAATAAAGAATAGGAAGTAATAAAAAATTAATGGAGTCTTGTATTCATGAGAACATCATTTTCCTAGATTCTGTAGGTATATATGTTTCAGATATTTTCATCTAATGAAGGGATTTATATTCATATGTATAAACCTTGAACTTGGGATTTATATTCATATGTATAGACCTTGAACTATCTAAGTTTTTTCATGCTGTGGCACTGTAGGATAAGCACTGGACCACAAGGTCAATTTGAATCATCAGGTCTGTGGTTCAAACTCACCAACCTCTCCTCAGAAACCCTATGCAGGGTTCCTATGAGTCGGGACTGACTCAAGGGCACTTAAGAAAAACAACATCAACATGTGCAAGCTTGCCTGTTTCTCAGATTCTCTGTAACAGGAATCAAATTGCAATGTTAGCAGAATGGATAACCATTTCTGAGATAAGATGTTTTATAGTACCAAACATTTCCTATGATTGAAATAATAAAAAGCAAAACCAACTGTATGGATTCATGAACAATAATGCATAATTTTCAGGAATTGTAGGAATTTTTAATAAAAGACCTAATAATATTTCAATAGGTGCTACATCAATGAATGTGTTCTTTATAAAATTTATAGCAACACTATTCTGCATTTGTATATCAGTTTCATTAATAAGCATCAATATAACATATATCACATCCTAATTAGGTTTCATTGTAGGACAAGCACTATACTATAAGGTTGGCACCAACTGCTCCTCAGAAACCCTATACAGGTTGCTATGAATCAGAACTGACTCAATGGATCTAACAACAACAGCAACAAGCTAGGCTTCGAGAAGTTACATGTCATTCTCTACATCACAAAGGTGTAAAAGAGATTTCATGTATTATGACTAATATCCATGGAGCTGTGCTTGAAAAGTGTAATTGTTGTTGTTGTTAAGTACCATGGAGTTGGCTCCGACTCATAGGGATCCTACACAGGGTTACGAGGCTATAAATCTTTACGGGAGCAGAACGTTTCATCTTTCTCCTGTGGAACTACTGGTAGTTTTGAACTGCTGACCTTGAGGTTGGCAGCCTGACTCGTAACCACTAAGCTAGATCAAGACAATTCCTCTAAGCTGAAGTACTTTACAGAAACTCTTTTCCTTTATAGCAACTTTTCACAACAGTTATATAGAGGTCATGACATCTGAATAAACCCTTGGAGTGCTTAATAAAAAAGAGATAATAAAAAACATGTGCTGGTTAATAACTCTTTAAAAATAAATTTTCTTTTCCTTCAGATTTCAATTTTCTGACATTAAGTACAAAGTAAATCATCAGGTCAAAAAGCGCATAATTGCTTTTCATACTTTCAATTTCTGACAATTAAGACTTGATTGTTGTTTTTTTGTTAAGTGCCCTCCAGTCAGTTTCAACTCATAGCTACCCTGTATAGGATTTCCAAGAAGGAGCTGGTGGGTTTGAATCGCCAACTTTGTGGCTAGCAGTCCAGTGCTTATCCTACATTGAGTGGCACACAAGGATTTGTCATTAAAATCATTCAAAATACTTAGTCTAAGTTTAAAAGAGTCTTGAGGAAAGCCTTATCTTATAAATTTTGGCTTTCATTCCTGTTTCTGATGTAAACCTTTAGTTTACATTTGAGTTTTAATGTGTCCTATAAAATTAAGTTGCAGCTCTTTAATTAAGTAAGTAGGAACTTTTGTTTATTTTTAGATTTTTTTACCCCATTATTTTATCAAGCTATAGTTTTATTATAAAACTTTTACTATACAATTTTATTATAAATGGTCAAGTCTTTAAGCTTTACTAGCTAATGGTAATAAAAGACAGCTGGGGGTAGGGGAGGAGGTAGCAGAGATAAACCTTCAAATTGACAACTTTCTGGAAGAAACTACAGGAGGGGGCTTCAAAAACTTTGTAGAAAAAGAATGAACAGATAATTCCATTTTTCCACGGATGTTCTGAAGCTCACTTATACCTCACAGTCAGTCATGTCTTAGATAACTTCCAGCAGCATGCTTATAGAGCTACTTAAAAACGTGCTGAAGGGATCATGTGTTTACACTAGACTTCATGAACACACACACAAATATTATTTATATGTTTTTAAAATACACATGACAATCTCTGTTCTTCATACCAGTTGTTCAGGCAAAACGTTTCCACTTAAAGTTAAAATGGGATTCATCACTATAAAGAGTAGATGTAAATGAAATTACTCAGAACATTAGAACAAAACAAGTCAGGAATCTGATAAAACTCATGGAAATAAGTTATAAAGGAGTTGCATGTATTGAACTGCAATGATATTACTCCTTATTATAAATGATCCCATAGAAATATATATGCTAAGATGTTCTCAAACAATATGTGAAACAAGTAGAAAGACATGCAGGAAAAAATTTCTATTTCATTTACAAATACAGTAAATTTTGGAAGTGAAGATAGCATTGTTTATTTAGAATAAATATGAGTCTTACCATCTGAGACTGACTCCTAGGACATCCATTGATATCTTCAACTTTTTCATTTGCTAAAACCAAACAATAAAAGAAAAGAGGGAAAAAAGAACATGCTTAAGCAATAAAGTGCAAGTTTTTAAAAAGAAGACAAAAAAAAAAAAAATTCCCCAAATAAAATGGCACTTCTACATTTACTCTGTCTTCCAAGCTGTGTACAAAAGGACACATTTAAAAGTGGCCATCAACTCCAAATCCACAAATCAAGCAAAAACAAGAAGAAGTGAGAAGGAAGTTGCTACTAATTCTTTAGCCTGTGTCAAATGATTGCTGACATGAAGTCTTTTACAAAAGTCCCTGCTGCATTGGGATAAAGTTTCAAGGAATCTCGAGTGTTTGAGTTGCTCCAGCTTGCACACATGGGAGGCATATGGTTTAATGAAGCTTTCATTTCTGACAATTCAGTGTAAGTAAAGATACAGTCCTACTTATTTAAAAATATGGTTAAACTGCCTGATTCAAACAGCTTCATGGCAACATTCAAATGTTAAATCAAGAAAGAATACATTAATCTCAGAGACACATGGACCAAGTCAGTATGCATTCAAATTAAACTGCATTTCACCTAAAAGGGACAGGGAAGGACATACATGCTTTCACTCAGAAAGAAAGTCTTACCAATGATCTGGATGATTTCTGCTAGCAGTACGCCATCTGCAATATCTTGTTGCAAATCCTTGATCAGTCGCTTGTGGCCCGATTTTGCTAGGTAGTGGTTAGCCCAATCAGTGTAAATCTGTTGAGCAGAGGCAGAGAAGAAGTGAGATGAAGGGAAGGAAAGACAATAAAAATGTTGAAGACAAATGTTGGATTCAAAGGGAAACTATTCTGGATCACATTCCAGTTTAAGAAGTCACTGCTCAAAAGGAAATAGTTGTAAAATAATTTTAAACAACTCTTCTCCCACTTATCTCTTGTTCAAGGGAGGATGATTCACTCTCTTTCCAAATAAGGGACCAGTCACTTGTGACAAAGCAAAAACTCCCTTCCTGGATGACTACTGGGAAACTCCTGTTGCCGGTCCATCTGAATTCTCTCTTTCTTGCCCCTACTTCTATTGCTTTGAAAACAATCCTGCTATTTCTTATAAAAGGAAGCCACCTATACTGATTAAAATAGAAACTTCACAGTACAAATTTGTTTCTCTGGGAAGACTTTATTGAATTTGTCATATGAGATACTGCATGTGACAATATTTTGGCATGGATTTATGAAATAATTGTAACTGTCTTCCTGTCTAAGATATTTCACTTGGGCTGTCATCTTCAATCTAAGCCTTTTGAACTTAGTTCATATGAGAAAATACAAACAACAAATGAAGCTATTACATAGAAATGACAATATACAATTGAGTAGTGGTTGTGGTTGTGTGTTATCCAGTCTGTTCCTACTCATAGTGACCCTTATAGGGTTTCTGAAACTATACATCTAAATGGGAAAAGAAAGTAAGATCTTTCTCCTATGAACAGCATGGTAGTTTCGAACTGTTGATTCTGCAATTAGCAGCTCAAGTTGTAACTACCACTACATTACCAGGGATCCTTACACAATTGAGTTGTTGTTGTCAGTCTTAAACACTGTCCAGTCAATTCTCACTCATAGTGACACTGTATAGGGTTCTCAAGGAACAAGTGGTGGGTTTGAACCACCAACTTTGTGGTTAGCAATCCAGCATTTATCCTACAGCACCACACCAGGACTCATGAAGTCCAGTACTTATCCTATAGAGCTACAATTGAGTTGTTGTTGTTGTTAAGTGACGTTGAGTTGGTTCTTACTCATTGTGGCCATGTATAGGGCTTCAGAATATCCACTGGTGGATTGCAACCACCAACCTTGCAGTTCAAACTGACCTTGTGGTCTAGTACTTATCCTACTGTGTTATATCAGAATTCCAATCCAAAAGTGAGTTGTTGTTGTTGTTATGTGCCATGGAGTTGGTTCCAACTCATAGCTACCCTGTACAGGGTTTCTGAGGCTGTAAATCTTTATGGAAGCAGAAAGCCAAGCCTTATCTTTCTCCGGCAGAACAGCTGGTAGTTTCGAACTACTGACCTTGAGTAGTGGATTGCATATCATAAGGCTAGCAATTTAAGCAAGAATAGATGGCTCTTTAACACTAAACAGACCACAGTATAAAGAAAAGGTAAAACTCTTCAAAGGTTTCATAAAATATACATATTTTTTCAAATGTTATCAGACACCAGGAATCACCAAAACTAAAGCTGGGTAATGAATGCAAAGGAAACAAATATGTTAAAAACCTTTCAACTTTTCCAGTGATATGAATATAACAGTAGTTTGATTACAGACAGATTTTTGTGTTTATATAGACTATTGGAAGTGATTGTCAACACCACTGCCATTGAGTTGATTCCAAATCAAAGTGAACCTACCTGACAGAGTACAATTGCCTCATAGAGTTTCCAAGGCTGCAATTTGTACAGAAGCACACTCCAAAACCTTTCTCTAGCAGAGTAACAGGTAGGCTTACACTGCTAACCTCTAGGTTTGCAGCTAAGTGCCCTTGCTGTTCGGAAATGATGGTAACCCACTAACTGACTGTGTCGAGTCATTTCTAATTCACAATAACCTAATAAGCATGGAAATGAATGGTTAACTTACACTGCATTTCTCCTTTATCTGTGATTTTGCTTTCCATAATTTCAGTAACGAGAGAGCTGAAAGTATTAAATGGAAAATTCTAAGAATAATTCATAAATTTTAAACTGCATGCCATTCTGAGCAGCTCCGTTAATATTCATACAATTTCATGGTCTCCTGAACTGTCCTGCCTGGGATGTGAATCATCTTTTTGTCCAAAGAATGCATGCTACATATGCCCTCCACTTATTAGTCACTTAGTAGCTATCTCAGTTAATAGATTAACTAGTAATATTGCAGTGTTGGTGTGGTGGCCTAGGAAAGGCACTCGGCTTCAAGGTCAGTTTGAACCACATGGTTGGCAGTTCAAATTACAGGCCACTCCTCAGAAACCCTATTCACTGTTGCAATGAGTTAGAACCAACTCAATGACAGCAACAACAACAACATGTACAAACTATCTTTATTTTACTTAATAATTGTTGTATGTTATTATTAGTTATTGCTGTTAATTTTTACCATGTCTAATTAATAAGTTAGATTTTATCACAGGTATGTATGTGTAAGAACTGACTCCACAGCACTTAAAAACAAGAACTGCACAAATGGAGACATGGTGTGCAACTGTCGGATAAGCATCGGACTGCTAACCACAACGTTGGCAATTAAAACCCACCAGCCGCTCCTCGGAAACCTTACTAAGCAGGGTCGGGTTGCTATGGGTTAGCAAAAACTATGAAAAATATTTTTTAGCAAAAGCAATACACATTATTTTCTTTAAAAATAAATCAGATCACAATTGTAAAGGTAGAAGTTTTATAACGTACAGAGGGTAGTACTTAATCTTATAGTCCAGGAACAGAGGACCCTAGGACCATCAAAGGAGAAGAGCAGGAGTGGAATGTGGGACCCTATCCAGAGAAGCAGCAACACCAGAGATGGAGGCAGAGATGCTGATATGGAGAGATAGAGCAGCTGAGGTCTCTAAACTCATGGAAAGCGAAAGGACGTGTGCTGCTGGCCAGGAGTCAGGTTTGTAGAATGTGCCCTTGGGTTGTTTAAATGATTACATATTCCTGAGCCTTTTTGTGTACATTAAAAAAAGAAGGAATAGAAGCAAATACTGATGAATGATGATGCACAGAGGGGATTGTAACCATTGCAATAAAATGAAATACAATAGAATGAGTGCAAAACTAGTGTTCTACTATGTAAACTTTCACTCAATTCACAATAAAAGCTCTTAAAAATAAATAAATAAAAATAAATCAGAAATGTAGATGTAAGTGAATGTGTCCCTTCAATGTGTAGCCCAACCCACCTTTAATAATTTGATATAAAAAGTTCTTGAATTTTCTTCTATGCCTTGACCATGTACATCACATTATATACACATACACATAGCTTAAAATTTATATACCACTCTGTAATTTTAATTTTTTATGCAGCAATAGTTTAATGACATTTCTAAAAGCCACTTCATATATATTTGTCTCATTATTTCTGACATTACATTATACATAATGTGGTAACTTATTGCAGGTGTTAGTTTGGTTAAACATGTTTCTATTATGCCTAATGCTGTAAAGGACAGCTTTACATATATATCTTAGCATACTCTTAGGCTATTCACGCTACTATCTTTATAGGACCAAAAACTGTAAGTGCTAACTCTTTTTTACAGATAATAGGTACAAATATTCCAAGCTTATTACCCAGAAAAACGAAGCAGTGTTTGTTGTAGAAATCACAATGTTAACTAAGATGCAAGCCCTTCTGTTGTTAGGTGCCATGAGTCAGCTCTGACTTACAGTGAACCTATACACAGCAGAACAAAACACTGCCCAGTCCTGCACCATCCTCACAATTGTTGCTATGACTGAACCCACTGTTACAGTCACTATGTTGGTCCATCTAGTTGAGCATCTTCCTCTTTTACACTGACATTCTACTTTATCAAACATGATGTTATTTTCCTGGGATTGGTCCCTTTTGATAACATGTCCGAAGTATGTGAGATGAAGTCCCACTATCCTTCATCAAAGGAGCATTCTAACAATACTTCTTCCTAGACAAATTTAAACATTTTTCTGGCAGTCCACAGCAATCTTAATATTCTTTGCCAACATCATAATCCAAATACATCAATTCTTCTTTGTTCTGCCTTATTTATTATCCAGCTTTTGTAGGCAGACAAGGTGATTGAAAATACTATAGCTTGGGTTTAAGCAAACTTTAGAACTCGAAGTGACTTCTTTACTTTTTCAAACTTTTAAGAGGTCTTTTGTAACAAATGTGCTCAATGAAATACATCATTTGATATCCTGACAGCTGATTCTATGGGTGTTTACTGTAGATCCAAGTAAAATGAAATCCTTAAAAACTTCAATCCTTTTTGCATTTATCATGCTGTTGTTTATTGGTCTGGTAATGAGGATTTTTTTTTATTTTTTATCCTCTTTGGTGTGTTTTTCATTAGTAAGTGCTTCAAGTCTTTGCTAATCTAATTGTAATTGTGTTATAAATTATTGTAGGCATACTTCTGTATATGACAATTATATGTGATAATTAAGTTACATCTTTATTTTCCTTGCCATGACATTCTCTACATTCAAGTTTCTATAATATGACAAAACTCACTTATGTAACTGTCTACTGAATTTTAAAATGAATATGCAAATTCGAGACAGACACTGTTTTATTTGGTAAAGATTTTCTGTTTTATTCTGGTATACTAAGTGTAAAATTGTCTTTTTAAATTTATGTATAAGAATTCCAAACATGGGCATTTCCCCTCTTCTAGACATCATTCAAATGTTAGCATTAATTGTTTATACATCTAAAAGAAGTTTCTGGATGAGCCACACTTTTATTTGTGTCAGGTCAGATCCATAGACTCCATCATCCAAGGACCACTGGATTGGCTTTATAGTATCACTCAGAGATTAAGTTATAGAGTCAGATGGGGCTTGTTTTGAGACTCAGCATATCACTTCATATTAGTGGCACCTTGGACAAGTTACTTTTTCTTCTAAACTTCCAATTCAATATCTCTAAAATAAATGTAATACATTCTTCCAAATATTATAAGTTTGATGCTGGGAGTAAAATAGTGCTAGTTTTAAGCAAAAG